CCAGGTCCTGTCTAGAATGCCTGCAACCATTTCTTAATAAAGGATGCCTGTTGGAAGAAATATTTCAAGAGTTCTGTCTTCTTAAGATGCAAAGTGGGTTGGGTCCTTACAGTTTCTCTTTAAATACTGTACAGGTAAAATACATGCAAAATTAATGGCGCTCAGTTAAAAGTTTGAGTTGCACTCTGACCTTGATAAAGCAGTTGGAAAGTCAACAGTCTCTTTGCATTCTCACATTCTTTATTTATTCCAGATTGCTTTGGAAGGTGCAAATGTAATGCAAACTGTCGTTTCACTTCAATGCACTTTTTCCTCTCATGACAGTATGAATTGGCCCCAGAGAATTTGAAAACCTGACTGGAGGATTTTGTGTGAAGTACTTTTTGTTTTGCAAGAGGCAATAGGAAAATATGCATCCTTTCTAACTGATATCTTTGGGCTAGAAAATGGTATATAATAGATGCTTTCTGGTTAGAAAATATAATACCAGTTCAACAGAAAATCCTATCCTTGCATATTGTACATTTTAAAAAACTGTAATTCTCAGTTTGCAGATAAGAAAAAAAATAGTTCCTATTTTTTTTACTATAACTTTCCTAAATTTCATTTGTCACATGCCTTAACTTTTAAAAAAGAAATAGAGCTCTAAGAGAAAGAAAAAAGGAGAATTCAGTGTCTACTGGATAGATTAAAAATGTCTATACATTTGGTCTTAATTTACTAAGTGTGCTTCTAAGATATAATCACTTTGATAATCTTATTTGTTGATTAATTCATTGCCTTAATAAGCATATCAAAATTAATATCTTGCTCTGAACATTACTGAAATTGAGGTATTGTGCTTTAATCACAAAAATCGAGTCATTAACGAAATAATGATGAAGAGCTTAAAGATTCTAAGTGTGCTTCTGATAATCTTAAAATGAGACTAACTCAGCCAAAAATTGTTTCATGTTTACCAGATGCCTAGAAAATGTTTTAAAAATGTTAGTTGTGTTCATTATGATGAAAATATAAAATGATAGTGTTGGAAGTCAGCACCCCCCCTCCCCCAAGTCTCTCTGCCCCAGAAAGAAACCAGCTTTTAGAAATGCAGATTTGGTGATTCATTCAGGAAGATTGGGGCCAGGAAGCTTGGAGCTGATGGGATTAGAAAGACAAAGACCCCTAAAATCTACATCCCCCATCCAAAATCTAAAGACATGACCTTTAGGACACAATAGGATTAAGCCACCACCATTGAAATACCAAAAGGGCACACTCAAGTTCAGGTCCAAATGCCACAGGAACAGGAAGAACCTCAAATACAAAGCCCAAAGAAAGAATAAAAACCCACCACTCCCAGCTCCTTTTTGTCAAGTTTTCTCAGAACTACATACTGTTGGTTATGTTCTTCAATAAACAGAACTTTCTTTCCTAAGCAGTCTCCATTTTGTTTATTCCTGACTTGGACTGGACCTGAAGAATTTTATTTCCACAACAGAGAGAACATAATATGGCTTGTATTGTTTAATATACATGAATAGCTTTCATATTACAGAGAGAAGAATTATAATATTTGAAGTTTACATGTAATTCTGAACAATTTTTTAAACACTTGAACTTGTATATGAAGAACTATAAAGAAATGAACAATAGAGAATCTTTTTAAAGCATTCAATTATTCCTTCTGCCCTTCTTTCTGTTGAATAATTATTGTCTTAAAACTTTTCCCAAATCTCTTCATATCTAATTGACAAATCCCAAAATCATCCATTTTTTAATTCTTTCAACAAAAAGTATTTATAGGCTTTCCAGCCTTTCAAAAAAAATCTGTCATTTTTTTCTCTGCTGAAACTTGTCAGCTCCAACATTTCTGCAAATCTAGTTAATTTTATAACCCAATCTTCTACTGTAAGCATTTCATTCCTTTTTCAACTTTTTTGCATACAATAATCTTGTCATCATTACCATATACAATAAGAAATTGTATATGAAATCCCTATCCATAAAACATGGTAGGAATAATTCTGGTTTTGTCAGTTTATCTCCTTTGCACCACTATATGGATTTGTACCCTTTTCAGACATGTGGACTGTTCTCCATACCACAAAACAATAATGTCTATGGCAAAACACAGAGAAAAGCTACCACATCACCCACTTGGGTTTGTTCATGTGGATTAGGTGTGACAGGGATGTTACAATTTGACTCTACTTGAGCACAAACCTCTGGGAGTAGCTGGATAATCCCCCCCAAATAGTACATGTTGGTTGTTGGTTTTTTAAAAAAATAGAAATGGGGCACTCCTGGGTAGCCTACATTTTGGCTTCCAGAGATAAAATACACCCCCCCCCCCCAGCCCAGCCTGTGTCCCAGCTAAACTATTTGATTTAGGCCAGTTTGTCATTTCCTGGCCTTAATCATGAGTTTGGTTTCCCTAATGCATTGGAACACCAGCATTAAGTGTTCCAGATACTCTGATAGTTGAAAAGATAACCATGTCTTATTAATATGCCATAGGAAAGTCATTAAAATCCATTTGCCAGTCTTTTAAAGTTGTGAGAACATTCTGAAGATGAAGGCAACTTGTGTTGTATGACAGCAGCTGATCTCTTTTTTTCTTTTTTCTATCAAGAGCCCTTTCCATTACATTTTTGTGGAGTCCAGGTGGAAATACAATATCTGGCTGTTTTAGCTGCTCCATTGTCAATGTTCGGACTGATGGAACCAAATAAATCAGAATTCTAAGGTATGAGATTTCCTCAAAGAACATGTTTATTGGATACATAATTCAGCATGATCAAACGTGAAACCAAATCTAAAATCCCCCCCCAAAAGAGTAATTCAATGTAATAGTTCCGACCCATCTACTTAACTATAAATCACATTCTCCAATAGAACTGCTTGGCGGACTTTCTAATAGAATGTCCCCCTTCTCCACCACGGTGTGGCAATGACCTTGGTTCCCACGGGAACCATTCATGTTTAGCAGAAATACCTCATCCCCCCTCCCTTTCCTATGGCAAGCTAGACCAACGAAGATGGTAGCAGCCCAGCTCGTTCCATTTGTCCAGCATAGCAACCAGGGTGCCTGGGTAGACCCATGCATTCCTAGAGGGTCAGTGCATTTCCTCAGGTTTTTTTTTTAAACACATGTGTAGCTCTGGGGCTGCTGAGTAATCCTCCATGTTTATCGTGGTGATGGCCAGGTTTATTTATTTCTTGGGCATACAGGCCACTTCAGTTGTAGCTGATGCTGAGAACTCCACTTTTATAATAGTGGTTAAAAAATACTTAAGAACAGTTTTAATAATCTCATTTGAATGTGACATGAAGGTAATCTCACATACAAACTGCTTGCTAGGTGATCATCTCCACTTCAATCTCTGGACAGGCAGAGATATTGCTGGGAGCCAGCAGTCTCAATGATAGCCAGATCCTAAGACAAGATTATGTTCTATGAATAGCTTAACATACTTGCACAACTGCTAGATACCCTCCTTCTGTTTGAGCATCAAGGCAAGAACCAATGACATGTTTTCTATTCCAACCCATGGCAAAATCCCCAATGGGTAGTCTACTCCTGGTGTTAAGCACTACAGAATACTAGGGCTTCAGGGTATTCACAAGCCAGATTTCAGTCTGGATCCTTGGAACTCTATGTCATAATTCAGTTGTTCTACCTTTTCTTTAACAACACTTCCATACTGCTTGACCTTGAATAAATCTGCATTGGTCTGAGGAGCAACATTTGATTTTCTGGCTCAATGATATTCTTATAAGATACTCTGTAACAGCTCTGTGAAATCCTCTACTCTTGGAGGAGTTTCCTCTCCCTATAGATAACAAATCAGGTGCAGATCCCATTGGTGAAGCCATACCATTTGATGGGCCTTAGGAAGCATCCCTTCTCTGTCATGGTGCCTGCCTTGTGGAATAGCCTTTCTCCCTGACCCTGCTAGCCTTCCAGAAGGCAATTTTTCCTCCTCCTGTTCTACCACTCACTTCAATTTAAAAAATCCTGCCGATACTCTTTCTACCTTTTCCCACCTTACCTTACCTCAACTCCCTGGATATCTTTGCTTCAGAGTATGCAAATCAGGACCAAGCATTCATTCCACAATTAGCACAAAGCTTTGAAACAGGATTATTTTACAAGACTAGTACAATTCAGTAAGTGCATTCAAGAGACCTTGTGCCAGAAAGATGAACAAAATCGAAGAAAAGCACACTTATCTCCTCTGCTTTTAAAGTTTGCTCTTTGTTTTGGGAATAAAATTGGTCTATTGAGCTATTTTTACGACCTGGAAAAGAAAATCTCCCTCCCAAGCATTAAGTCACCCCAAAGAATCCATCCACCATTCAGAGGCCAGGGAAACCACTAGCATTTCGCAGTCTGTTACCAGTGAGGCCCAGAAAATGCCAAAGAAGGCAAGATCTTCCTCCTGCAAATCAGCATCTAATACTGTATCAGTGCTGCTTCTAAGCATTGCCTCTGGCTTTAAAAGGTGAGAGGATTCATTCATCCGCTACAAGCATTTAGCCTTTTTCATCTCTGACCAGAACCTTTGCGCGCCAGTTGCCAGTACGTCCCTGTGGGAATAGTAGTTTCGTCCCCGGGAAATAAAAGTTAATATTCCAAGCAGATGATGGATTAAACTGGCAATTGGATTTGATTTAACAGCCATGTAGTTTTGCTGAAGTTGCATCAGTTGTTCAGATGATTAGAAGCTAGCTGCACAAGTGGCCACTGGCCTTTGTATATGGAGTTTTCTATTCTATAAAACTAATGTACCATTGGTTTTTTTTTTTTTGAAAGCTATACATTCAACCCTTATAAAAGGACTTGTAGCTGGCAAACTGAAGTTAGTCTTGCCTGAATGTGCTTCACGCCCAGCAGGTGCACTCCTACTGTCCCTTCTGGAAGACGTAATTGGCTCTTCGGAGATCTGGCAGATCTGGTTTTAAGCTGCTCTCAGAGATAATCAACTCCATAAGTCAACTACCAGGATCTCAAGCAACTCTAGAAGAAGTAGAGAGTGAGGGAGAAAGATGAAGCAATACACAGAGTGACATGGCAGGATGTATTTGAAGAAGCCTTAAGATCAGATATTTCAACTGCTGGACCTGTCAGCTCATCCAATGGCCAAGAATTCTTTCCTGGATATAATCAAGACTGGAAGAATTAATTCTAACCTGAGGATCAGGGGCAGAGTGTAGTTGGAAAGTGCCGTGCAGAGCAAAAGATCTAAGGTACATTTAGATTCTTGCTTTTATCAGTAAGAAAATGTTGGAAGATTATAAATACATGGAGTTTCTGGGAAAGTATATATGGATTTTGGCTACTGTGTGACTGAATTCTTTTTAAGCCTTATTATTTGGGGAATATTCAGCTTGTTATATGAATTCTTTATTGAATGAAGATTTTTTACAAACATGCTGCATTACTCCAGAATGCAGTTTGGTACAGAATTTGACAGATAGGACTAAAAGTAAATCATAACTGTGGAAATATTGAAAATTACTAAATACATATTAATTGCTGGATCCAGTTCAGATCAGGAAAATAAGCACTATTAGCTATATTAACTATAGTTCTTGAAATATGATAGCAATTTCTAAATATTTAAAATATCTAAATATCAACAAAAGCTGGGTACATTAAAAAGACCACCTTGTCTTCCTCATATCCACTGTTCAGCAGGAATGCCTTTTCCATACTTCCTCCTTTTGCAGAATTGTCCAGAGTTATGTCAATGTAGACTGTATGGAGAGGGACTTGTGATTTTGTTATTGATTTTTACTTAATGTTACACTACAGTAATAGTAATGCCCGATTTTTAGTCCCCCAAAATCATAAGTATACCTCAGAAGTGCTAATTTAAATCAATTTTTTTATTTTAAAGTTAATATGTCAATTTTTTTCTTGGTATCATACTATCAGCAAACTTAGGAATATAATATGGTGTAAAGGTAATGTGGAACCAGGGACTTTCAGTATAACATGTAATGTTTAATTAGTAATCTATATCCAATTTTTTAATGCAAATAGTCTCTTTGCTATAATGCAGAGGTGGATCATAGATTCATGGCCATAAAGTAAATTATATTACTTTCCATGCATTGCAAAATCATAATGGAAGCATGGCTGAACCAGATTTTTTTTTTACTTTATTCCAATATTGTACATTATTTGATTCATTTGTTGTTTTCTCTTTTCCTATTTAGATAAATGTGATTCAGTAGCCTTTTATTTCTCTGATATCAGTTTCAATATGACTGGAATGTACTCAAGGCAAAATGCTTCATCCCAAGATATTAATCTTCCTCACTACCAGCCAGATGGAGACCCCTTTGTTTCAAAACTCTCAAAGGAAGCTGACATAACAGCTGGAATTTATTTATTAATAATAGGTAAAATTGTTCTGTTTTATCAATTGTTCTGGTAGGAGATGTTGAAATGTATGTTGATCTGTTTTGTGATAAGACTCTGCTACTGTTGATTTAATTTTGAATTTTATACAGTACTGTTTGGTAGATTCCTTGTACACCATGACCATAAAGCAGTACACCATAAAACAGTACTGTTTGAATTGTACTCAGTCTTCAGGGAGGATAGAATTGCCTTTTAAAAGAGTTATGTGATGTGTCATCTTGGATTATTTCATCCTCTTAGAAACTATTGGCCAAAGTTAGAAATCTTGCTAAGGCTAAAGGCACACACACACACACACACACACACACACACACACACACACACACAGAGAGAGAGAGAGAGAGAGAGAGAGAGAGAGAGAGAGAGAGACAGACAGACAGACAGACAGACAGACAGACAGACAGAGTGAGTTCCATCTTCCTCACATAACTTCAAGTCTAGGGATGTTTTTAGGAGAGGGTGAATTTAATCAAATTTGGCTTGTTAGCAAGCATTTATCCTGTGATAGATTCTTCTAGGAGCAAAGCTATCAGAGGAACTTATGGCAGAATTTTTCTACATCTTTACTCATCTTTCTTTTATTCAAAAAAAAAAAAAAGAAAATTTGGCTAGCTATAGTTTTTTCTTTCATCCTGATGCTATGATAAGGATTTTCCCTTCTGTGGAATCCATAGGGTAGAAATTTCTCAAAAAAGCAGAACACTGAGACAGACTGAAAGAAAGATTGAGAGAGAAATTATGTTTGCTGGGTTCCAATGTGCTTTTCCCACCAACTAGTCCCAATACATTCCAGCAGCCAAAGTAGAGGCTCCAAAGAGGAGCAATGTCTAGCTATTCTGTTGTACAGGTAGTCCTCAAGTTATGACTACAGTTGAACTCAAAATTTCTTTGGCTAAGCAAGGCAGTTGTTAAATGAGTTGTGTAGTCATTAAATGAATCTGGATTCCTCCACTGACTTTGTTTGTTAGAGGCCAGCTGGGGAAGGTTACAGATGGTGATCATATGACCCTGGGACAATGCAGCTGTTATAAGTACATGCCAGTTGCCTGGTCAGGCAGAGTGGGTAGGCTTTCCAAGTCTCATCAATGAAAGAGGCTCACCTTGCAAGACCCAGGAAGTATGTCTCATCAGCCCTCTAGAATGGCATCCCTAAAGCTTCAAATAATTCCCATCATTCAGAACATTATTAAAAACATGGTTGTTCTTCCAAATCTTGGAATAGGATGCTTGTGAAGTCCCCACAGTTTCTTAGGTTTTTTTTCTTCGGTTGTGTGTAGTTTTCCAATTGATCTTTTTTTTTTCCTCTTTCAATTGGAATCATTAAGAAGTCAGGCATCCTTGAAATTGAACTAAATAAGGTTTTAAATATTGTACAAATCTACAGTTCTCTCCTCTGAGCTCATTCTAGCATAGTAAAAACAAATTCTTGTGGGATCAAAGCATTTGCTTCTTTGATAAAGTTGTTACTCTTTCCCTACAATTATCATGCATCTTTCCCTAGTTCAGAAATCTGTTCCCCTCCATAAAGCTGTTCTCCTTCTATTTATTGCCTGCCTTTAAAACTATTTGTGTACCTATTTCATGGGAATAGAGACTAGTCAAGAGGAAGAATAATGTGACCCTAACTGTATTCTGCTTCTGGAGGAAAAGAGAGGTACAAAAATTATAAATAAAATATAACAAAGAACATGTCAACATTATTTATGCCAGCAGTTGCATGCTGGGGTAGCCTACTTTACAAATGAGCAAGAATTTGAAAAAGAGGAGAAATGGAGCTTTTTTAAAAAGCAAGTGTATCTTTAATAATGTAGTTGTTAGGGCTTTGTAGTATTTTGGATGCAATTCGAAAAAGACGGTACCTGTTATGCTTTTAAATAAAGGTTCAATTGGAAGCTTTTTAGAAGACTTTAAAAGGGTTACTTTCTCCTCAAAAAATGTGACCTTCCCTGACAGATTCTTATCACTGTATCTTTACCACTAAAAATATGATTTCCCCTCCCTACATTGGAATACTGAGGAGAGAGAGAGAGAGAGAGAGAGAGAGAGAGAGAGAGAGAGAGAGAGAGAGAGAGAGAGAGAGTGTTATTTAGTGTGTGTGAGAGAAAGAAAATGAATGTACAGAGGAGGTATACATGAAAGAGAGTGATATAATATTTTACTTCCAAAACTTTGGTTACAGAGAAATATAGCTTTTCAGAGGGAGAAAAGGGATCCTGGATTTGCTATAGAGAATTCTCATTCTTCAGATCTTTTAATCCTATTTATCTCTTTTAAGATCTCCATGTTTGAAACTGAACACTCATTTCTGGGAAGATGTCTTCTCTGTCCACTCCGATAGCACTCTTGTGGTTGTATTTTAATTTTCTGTAGGGATCCTGTCCACTTTAGGCAACGGATATGTTATTTATATGGCTATACAACGGAAAAAGAAGCTCAAGCCAGCAGAGATCATGACAATAAATCTAGCAGTCTGTGACTTGGGGATTTCAGGTAATTCCACTTTAGCTCAACTGAAAATGAAAATTTGGGGCCCTGTAAGAAGCAGCTAGGCCTATAGTGATGTCTTCTTGGCATCACCACCAATGTTTTTTTAATTTCTGTGTTTACAAATGATTAATGCCAACCAGCATGGAAAATAATCGTTGAAACAATGCATATTTTAAATAATTATCTGGAATTTAGTAAAGGCAGTATTGCAGTTGAATGCAGTTATATCAAACAGTTTTCATCAAACTGGTGTCCTCCAGATCTCAAGGCTTAGCTAGGAATTTTAGAAACTATGGTCCAACACAGCTGGCACCAGAATGGGGAATGCTGTTACAAAATATAACAATATGTGAATGATATTTTTTTAAAAATCTAAATAATGCTGTACAATAAAATTTATCTTTATTCTTTCTTCAGATGTATTGATCAACTGAACTTTACATTTAATAAATTAATGATAAATAAAATGTGATCAATTAAAAAATTGGAATGTTTTGCTCATTTAATAGTAAAAATTCAATAAAATAAACATTGCATTCTATAATTCATTCATAACATACTATACCAATGGCTTTTAATAAAAAAATGGAATAAAAGTATGTTTAAATTTGTGGCTTCTGTGTTGTTCAATTCAAAGAACCCTACCACAGATCATGCAATTATTTATAATTTCTTTTTAAAAAAGTAAAAAAAGGAAGTGAGAGAAATAGTTAATTATAGGAATTATTTTCTAAACTCAATTATTTGGAGCCAGTACCAAATTTATTCATGTAGTCATGTATGGCTTTTATATAGTAAAAGAAAAATCTTAGCTTTCTTTAATTTCAATAAAAATGATTAAATATGTAGTCCCTCCATTTTGTATATTAAATGATCTATGAGGAATTAGCTTGAAAGTTATGAAGCATGCAAAAAGTCTTTGCTTAGAGATGTTGGAATGTTACTGAAATATTATTGGAAAAGAAAAATTCAAGGAAAAACAGATCTATGCAAAGGTATGTTCAGTGTTTAGCAAAAGCACTTCTGTTGATGGAATTAGATTTTCCATGGCTGTTCTCCCTCATAACATTCCAGTTGTTTGCTCTGGAAATCCCTGCTTTCAGGAGCAGGTTTGAGGGTATATGGTGGAAGATGATAATAGTACCCTTGAGTGGAAATAATACCAGTTTTGCTCATTGTTGCTTATCTCAATCTGATCTGATCCAATCCAAGCCAATGAATTTTCAAATGTTGAATTCAAATCTATATAGCATATTGTTATTGTTTTACTTCTGTTAAGTCATACATTCTAGCATGGCTCTGTTGGATATATAAATGTCAGATATATCTTAGAAGAAACAACACTTAGGTAGCATTGTTGAACTCAATAGATCAGTAATAACCATAGATCGTTTATGGCCGGCAAAACATTGGCTGAGGCAAATCTGTCATTCCACTGTCATCTGTCATAATATTCATTACTTTGTAAGACAGCCTTTACTTTCATTTCCATATGTGAAGGTCAAAAGTAATATTTTCCCACCTTTCAGTTATGAATTGAGATAAACTAATTAGAAGAACCTGAAATAGGTTCTTCCTTCCTTCCTTCTCTTCCCTGTACCCTTTCCCCTCCCCGCCCCCTCTTTTCCTTCTTCCTTCCTTCCTTCCTCCTTTCTTCCCCCCTCCCTGTCTTTCCCCTCTCCCTCTCCCTCTCCCTATCCCTCCCCCTGCCGCTTCCTCTCCTCTCCTCTCCTTCTTTCCTTTCCTCCTTTCCTTTCCCCCTTTCCTTTCCTTTCCTTTCCTTTTCTTGACTTGACTCTTTCTTAATTTTTATGTTGCTTGAAGGGGATTACATTCATTTTTCTTTTGGACCTTTACCTGCCTCTCATTTGTTCTTTCTTTTACAGTGACAGGAAAGCCATTTAGCATCATTGCCTTCTTCTCCCACCGTTGGATCTTTGGTTGGAGTGGCTGCCGCTGGTATGGATGGACTGGCTTCTTCTTTGGAGTCGGAAGTCTTATTACCATGACTATAGTCAGCCTGGACCGGTATTTCAAAATCTGCTATTTAGCTTATGGTAAGTAGAACATTATATACAACTTTTCCCTAGATGTGTTGAAGTTTGCACTTCAGGGTTCCCAGTCAGCTCTGTGAGATAAATTCTGAAATACGTCCATACTTGAGTGATTTATCAGGTCTTAATTGCTACTTTTCATTTAGATTCCAATTACAAATTGCCCATCCTTGAATTCCTGGGTGAGTTGATTCTTTGACTCACTGCTTCTCTTCTGTTCTGTGTGTCTGCATATATATGCGTGTACAGACACAATTACAGATGTGGGTGTCTGTAGTACAATAGTCCTTGAGATGTGAGTATAATGGAGCCTACCCATTATGGTTGCATGTCACAATGGCCATTAAGTAAAGCATCTCACCTTATGATTCCCCCCCCCATCCCTGATCTCCCCAATGAATCATCAAATAAATGCATAGATGGAGCATGGGGTGCCTCAGGGCGAACAACCACAGGGGCAGTGCAGCAGCTGTAATTTGGGACTGTGTCGTCAGTAGCTTTAGAGGGTTTGCCATATCTTTGAACTGCCATGAAGCAACCGGTCATAAGTTGAGGACCACCTGTATGCCCATACTTAATCAATTACAGCTTCAATTTTCTCTCCTAGGAATCTGGTTGAAGAGACACCATGCTTTTATCTGCCTAGGCATTATCTGGTCTTATGCTGCCTTCTGGGCCACCATTCCCTTTGCTGGCTTGGGGAACTATGCTCCTGAACCCTTCGGCACCTCCTGCACCTTGGACTGGTGGCTGGCTCAAGGCTCATTGGCAGGGCAGACATTCATTCTCAATATCTTTTTCTTCTGCCTTGTATTCCCAACTGCTGTGATCGTGTTTTCCTATATTAAAATAATAGCAAAGGTCAAGTCATCCAGCAAGGATGTAGCTCATTATGACAGCAGGATTCAGAATAGCCATGAACTAGAAATAAAGCTAACTAAGGTAGGTCCATACAATCCCTAATTTTATTTTACTTGTTTAAGAATGGGCTGAATAGAGAGGCATGAACAAAATTCAGCAGCATGAACAAAAAACCATGTGTGAGAAATAAAGGGAAATTTGGACAAGTGGGAAAATAAACTGAACTTGGCAAATCCCCCCACCCCATTCCCCTGCCTGTTACTAGCCTTTCACATCAGGTTTCTGTGCCTTTTCACCTAGAATCTGGCTTAAAATTAAATTTTGAAAGGAAGATTAATTGGAGATTTTTTTTTTCTGCCAGAGTTTTTCTCTGGGGAAAACCAAGTCGATTCCTTCTTAGTGTTTTAAACCCTAAAGTTGATTGCATAATTTTAAATTAGCCTGAGAGTCTCCTCAGTCCCAATGCGCCATCACCAGTTACTGGTGATATAAAACTAAATCTTCTCCAAGCCGATTTGAAGTGGTATAAATACATCACATTTACAACACCATGTAATATCACACAGTAGCATATAGGGTATAGTGGTGAGAGAGGAGATGAAGTGTGAAATGGGGTGTGTGCTTTTATTTGAAATTACATTTTAAAAAGTTTGATAGTTACATGCATAGTTTTGGCATCACACCTGAATGCAGTTTTTTTAAAAAAATAATTCTAATTGAAGAGATTTTTTTTACAGAATAAAATCAATAACATTTTTTAAAAAAAAAGTAAAAGAAAATTAAAGAAAAATAATAAGTAAATACAAAGAAAAGAGAAAATTAAAATGACATAACATGAAATATACAGGACTGGCTTCCAACTGTCCTAAGAACAGTTATAAATATATTTATATTTCATTTTCTCAGGAATGCTATTGAAGGAGATTTGCACACAGCTCTATAAATACACATTGGAGCACAACTGCCAAACAAACAAAAACCACCAATTCCCTGTCTGCAATGCTATTTCCCTCCAGTCAGCTCAGACAGAGTCGGGCTTCCTCCTCCCCCGAATTCAGAAACGAAACTCTAGCAGGCCTCAATGCTCCTGGCAAAAGTCCTTTCTTCCTTCCTTCCCTTCCCTTCCCTTCCCTTCCCTTCCCTACCCTTCCCTTCCCTGGTTCAGCCTCAGCCATGCTCCCCTAGCAGGAGATGTAGCCATCCTGCTTCTTGCTCAGAGGCAGCCTCTGTTGCTCCATCTTCCAAGGGTCACAAAAGAGCCCGGAATCCAAGGAAGGGAGAAGATGGGGAAAGAGCAAGAGCAGGGAAGGAAGAGACAGAAGACGTGGAGGACAGAGGTGGCAGGGAGATTCTTTCCAACCTCCACAGAGTAACAGAGAAAAATGGAGAAATAAGGCAAAACATTATTTCCAAATCTCTCTCCCTGAAAAAATAAAGTTGTAATACTGTAAAAGGTAACACACAAGTTCATCGAAGGAAGAAAGTGCAAAATACAAGTTATCCAAGTAATTTAAGGGGGAAGATGTACAGAGGGAGTCACATTCAGCACAAATAAACCAGAAGGCAGAGAAACAAAACTGGGATAAAACATTAGCAAAGATAGTCTCCTGAACTTGGACTGAATACAACTGAATTAAAAGTGCAGCTCAGCTGCACTGGTAATACTGCATGTGTGACAGGACAATGACAGTGGAACTGCCCATCTCTTCTTCCCATGAGACTATCGCTCAAAGGCTTCACTGAAAGCTGGTGGCTGTGGCAGTCCGTGGCCAGGGTTGATGGTAGGCCAAGGGCAGAGGAGGCATGCCTGAAAATGAGTCAAAGGCACTTTGTGTAGTGAGAAGGGAGGCCTCCAGCATGGAAGTGACAGGAAAGTCTATTCCCATTAGTTCTGTTTTTAACATATTAATTTATGTACACATTTTGAGTAAAAATAACATTTATGACATTTATTATTCAACTGGAGCAGTGGTGGGATTCAGCCAGTTCACACCACTTTGGCAGAACCGGTAGCTAATTTTTTGTTGCCCAGGCCCAGAGTGGACTTCCAGAAGCAGCATCCACACAGAGAACCAGATGTTCACATATTTGAATCCCACCACTGAACTGGAGCATTTCAAACTGGCAATTTTTCATTCCACTTTAATCTTTAGTGGGATGATTTACTAAGAAGCCAACTAACCAGATCCTGTGCTTTAGATATAGCTCTCTTTGAACTTACCAGCTTCTTCAAACACTAATTCAATAGGAATCTTATAGCCCTTTAGTGTATACAGAAGCAAATATTTCAGGACAAATTACACCCCGCACGCACACACAAAAATATCCAGTGAGATAGAGAATCCTAATTATCTTCAAGTGATTGTAGGCTTACCCAGTTAAAATCTATTATTTCTCTTATTCTTCCTCATTTTATTTTAGAAAAAAAAATCTTTAAAATGAATTGCTACCACGAATTACAACCTGATCTAGTCTGTCAATGATACTCTTCATTATATTGTATCTATTGGTATGTTTTTATATGATGGCCAGGCTCCCAGAAATGGCAAGCATAATTTCTTAACACATCTCTACCCCCAAACTTTAGATAGGCCACATAAACTACGCACGGGTAAAGTGATTGATGTTGTTCTTTCTCATTCAGGACAAATGTGGTAGGAAAAACAGTGAGTTCTTTATTTCATCTCTTTCAAGAGCAACATAAGAAACCACAAAGATCTCTTGCAGCTTTAATCTCATTTGAGGTGGTTTCATTCTCGTTGCATTGATTGAATTTATTTCTCTGCCTTGTTTCATAATCTTTTAGGCTGAAGCCATATGTGTGCTTAGGAATAACTCCTACTGAATCAAATAGGATTTATTTCTGAGGGAATATGTCCTAGAGGAATATATCCTGTTGTTTTCCAATGATTGCCCTGGTTTTAAAAGGCCATATGCACCTCTTTGTTATGCCGAATGGAAATAGATTTTCACAAACTTAGTCACTAATTCTGTGGTAATTTCCTCCCCTGAGTGAGAACAATCTCCAATAATACAGTGCCTTCTATATGATAATTGAATTATTTTTTTGTTATATTGACATGGTTTGCTTGAGCAAGGGGTTGGACCAGAAGATCTCCAAGGTCTCTTCCAACTCTGTTATTCTCTTATTCTGGTTGTCTTATCCTCTGTTATGCACTTCTTCTCACTAGGTGGCAATGTTGATCTGTGCAGGATTTCTAATTGCTTGGATCCCGTATGCAGTTGTATCAGTATGGTCAGCTTTTGGAAAACCAGATTCGGTTCCCATAAGAGTTTCGGTAGTGCCTACTTTGCTTGCAAAATCAGCTGCCATGTACAACCCTATTATTTACCAGGTCATCAATTGCAAATCAGCCTGTTGTAAGCCGGAGGCTCTTCGGCCGCTGCAGAAGAAAAACTTGAAGAAATCCAGGTAGGGGTTTTCAGAAGTGGCCTGAAATATTTGAAAGGCACTAGAGATTTCATGCAATGGACACGTGCAGGAGTGTGAGGCAAAAAGAAAAGAAAAAAGCAGTCCATCCTCAAGAGACAAACAAGGAAACTCTTATATTCCTTCTTCTTTTCTTCACTTTAAGGGGGTTTCTGTTCTGGATGTTGATTGTGAAAAGTGCCCAAGGAGACAAGATATAAGAAGGGAAGTAGCTATGGAGAAGTCCCCCTGAGCTTGTTTCCTTTAAAAGTCTTTCCCTGCAGTGGAGAGATTTCAGTGAGAATTTTTGGAGTAAGATGTAGCTCAGCCAGAGTGACCTCTGCTGAATGGCCCCAGGGTCTGATCCTAAGGTGGGTCTTTAAAGAATGAGGAATCCTCAAGTAAGAGGAATGGACGGGACACTCAAGTGTTGTCCTTTAATATTAGGTATATGTATCAGAAATGACGCATCTGTTGTCAAACATCTCCAGAAGAATTCCATCTTTTCTTTCTTTTTTGCTTTTTCTTGTAGACTCTACGTAGTCTCTACAGAAAAGTCTGACATGATGACTGAAACTCAACTGGATGTTGCCTAAGAGCTGGGAATCCATACCTCTCCAGCTGACAAGCAGGACTCTCTCTCAGCTGCTTCCGCTCCTAACCACTTTAAAAGTACGCCAGCTTAGAGTTATTTTCCTGGCTTGTATTTTCTCACAGAGTCCTAATGTTAGTTTTCTCTATTCTAATCAAAGATATTTTTTTTAAAAAATTAACCATTTTGTTTGTAGTTTAATTAGCTAAAGAGGCTCCCTGCATCATTCTTATTTTACATATCTTAAAGTGATTACAATGAATACAAATAAATAGGTGTACAGTACATAGTAATAGTATAGTAAACAACATAGTAAATTGGTGCTTAGATATACTTTACCCTGTTGATCCCTTGTCTTTCCTCTCAATGAAATGCTGCTTGTCAGCAACAGTCACATGACACAGAGAAGCAAAGGATGCCTTTGACCAAGAGCTGCAGAGCAAAGAGAGAGGCAGTTCCATACTTTCTGCTTGGCCTTCCACTGGAATGGACCATTTACTGCTTCCCTAGGGCAGGAATGGAGGACATCCTCCATGTGGCCTGCTCCCATATTGTCCACCTTCAATTCAAGACTGTTGTTTTCAACCAGGGTAGTTTTCAGCTCTTCAGAGCAGATGTTCTCCAGTGCTTTCTTCCATTCTACTTGTGGTCCCAGTTCTTCTTGGCTGCCATGCCTGGCATGTGCCCTCTCCTCCAGCAGCCGATCACTGCCTCACGCAGACATGTTGTCCTCGGCTGCTACTTTCTCAGCATTTTAAATATATTTTCATTAATTCATTGAGGGCCCCTTAAGTCAATGAACTATCCTCAAGCCTAGAAGCTTACAACTTTTATATTTCCTGGTGAGCACTTTTGGTTTCTGCCAGGCTGGGTGAATCATGCTTCTCTTGCTTTCCCATCCTCTGTCCACAGTTTTCCTTCCCCTTATGTTTTTAACTTCTTTAATTTACAACAAAGAAAATATTGTTGCGTTTTGTTTCTATGAAACTGAACTATCAGTTCTTCCTTGCTTATCACATTAGCATAGGCCTACATAGGATCAATCCACCCACCCCAATCTATTCCCTATTGTTTTTATTGTATTTTATTGTGCTATGATAGTACTTTAAGGAGAAAAATAGTACAGAAAAGTGCTGCGTTAGTGTCAGGTAAGATAATGGGGTACATACCCATGACAGACTGCTCCATATAGGAGCCAGAGGGCAAGCCTTCCCTTCCTTGTGTGGATGAAAGGGGAAGAAGCAGGGGAATGCCTGGTTGTGCAGGGCTTGATCTGGACTAAGCGTCATCCCAGCTCTTGCAAATCCCATTTTTTTTTTTGCAAATTTTATTTATAATACAGTTAAAAACAAACAAACATTGGATTTAATGTGACATTCCAGTATATACATTCTTATCATATTATTCCACTTTTTACAATCAATTCTTCATCTCTACATATACATCTAAGTTTTATATACAATACTTATTCTAAAATAACATATATTTCTATCTTAACATTCATCTTTAATCCCAACCGTCCTCTTTGAATTCCTCCAGCGGTAAAATTTATCCCAGGTTTCATAATAAACTGATCCACATTTGTCTTTTAATATCATTGTGAGCCTGTCCATTTCCGCACATGCTAATATTTTATGTATTAACTCTTCCTCTGTGGGAATTTCCTTGCTCTTCCATTTTTGCGCAAAGGCAAGCCTAGCTGCAGTCAGGATGTGTAGCAGCAGGTAGATTGTTCCCTTGTCGTATTTTTCTGTCATTATTCCCAACAAGAAGAGTTCAGGTTTTAACTCTAAGTCCAGTGTTAATATATCTCTCAACCAGTTTCGTGTCCTGTTCCAATACTCATGAGTTTTTGGGCATTCCCACCACATATGGTAGTATGATCCTATTGCTGTTTTACATTTCCAGCATAGGGGTGAGATGTTTGGACCCATTTTGGCTAGCCTTATGGGTGGGAAATTGCAAATCCCATTTTTGTAGTTCTTGAAGAAACAGCCAGCAGCAGCATGGGGAACAAGCAGCTCAGGGCTACTGTGCAAAATTGCCCAGCGCTAAGGGCTTTTAGCTGCCTTTATGCAAGAATCTACACAAATATTAGATCTGATGTATGATGGGCTTTCTAAGCATTATCATGCCATGTTGGGAAAGGCTGGTTCAGGAAGTGGTTCATTATTTTATGGAAAATTGCTCATTAGAAAAGTGAAAATCTTGGCTTCAAATCTTCCTGTACTTTTTTCATTTGTTTAAATTATGTTATAATGCAAACAAAAGATCTGGCCAGAGCAATCTTGTAAAATATTTTCACCTGTGGAATTAGTATTGTCATGTCAATTGTCAATATATTTCTCCTAACATAGTTATACTGTGTATGTTCCCCTTCCTCTAATTTGGTTTGTAATTTGTGAGGAACAGGAGTAGCTGGACATTGGCCAAGATGGGCATCCTACTCTAATGTTTTTAGACTGCACTTGTCTTGCCTGTGCCTGGGGGAATGAAATGCACAAGGAATCGCCATGTATTTAATAAAAGTTTAGTTACACTTACCTTTAGATTAATTCACCTGGTGAAGGGAAGTGGATGTGCAGGCATACGCAGGAAGTGACTGATGGAAGAAGCTAACAAAATCTGCATAGGTTTTGGGAAAGATGCAGCTGCTTCATTGATTTACAAAGAGAAGCATCATATAGGTTCTGATGCACCACTGCAGTGATCTAATATTAGTATTTACATAATACTGCATATCTGCAGTGACCTAATATTAGTATTTACACAACTCCTGCATATTAGTTTTAGCATTTGCTGGACTACTCGCCATCCTTGAAAAGCTAGATTGCTTCGGATGTGGTATCTGGATATCGGGGAGTCTCTGAATGTGATTTTTCTTAACATTGTGGTTGTGGGGATTAGGTTGGAGTGTCCTTGGGTGACTTGTGCTGCTGTTGTTGTTATTTACTTACTGTACACTTACTAAGTGTAATAACTTATTGTTATTGATTGATTTTGTTCTTTGTTGGCTTTATTCCAATATTCATCACTCAGACTTGCCACAGTGAGATAGGTAGCTGTATAAATCAATATAATAAATAATAAATGCTAAATTAATAAAATATGGAGGAGAAAAAACGTTGATACAAACCATGGACAATTTACATCAAGGTGTGGTTTTGGTTTGCAGTAGGTTTTTGTTTGTTCCTTTTGTTGTTTTGTTTATTAAAAAGTTTTGAGGGAAAGAGAAGAGAGCTGTAAACTAATCAGTTGCAGGCAGAATAATTTCAAAATAATTTTTTAAACGAAGCAACAGAGGATCTCTAATGTAAACATTTTTGGAAAACAAGATAAGTATAGAATATTACTTTAAAAATAATGAGGATTTGGAAGCATATCTCGGGCAAAAATTTAATCTGTGGTAAGTGCATATAGCATGAATATGTTGCCAAGTTATGCTCAATATTCAATTATATTAGTGAAGAGTCACCTTTATAGTAATATGGCTGTAGTGAACAGTTTTGTTCATTTACAGGTCAAGAAAGAACAGAACAACAATACTGCCCCAAGAATATTACAACATACTGTAGGAAAAAATCTATTTATTACTCTCCTTTGTGCTCAAGTTGGCCAGGGGAGAAGGCTGTAATTTTATTCCTTCATATCCCCCCCTCTCCCTCCCTCCCTCCCTCCCTCCCTCCCTCTCTCTCTCTCTCCCTCTCTCTCTCTCTCATTTTGAGTTCATGTTTGAAGACCAAACATCGAATCTGGTAGATCTAAATATTGCCTGAGTTGGCTAGAGCTCATCCACCTTGAGTGCTTCATTTCCAAGTTGAAGGGCAGGCCCACTAGCAGAGTTTTCTGCCACTGGGAAACTAATGATTTCTAGAGCAGCCTCCTCCCCTCAACCCCCCCCCCCACAGAGGAGAATGTCTCTAGCATCCTGTAATTCCAGGACAATAGGAATGTCCAGGATAGTGAGTAAACTTTGCACGAGTGTTTTCTGTGGTAGAATGGTCCAAGTCATACTTATCACATTTCCTGCTCCTCTTAAATAAAAATATGCAATTTCAAAATATATAAAGCAAATTTTAGATTCAGTTAGATAATATATCTGACTTACAGTAATGAATTGCAGTGAATTCATCTCGTTGTTGTATTGAATAAGAGGGTTACTTTCCTTTCTTCTTGGCTTTCCCTCCCTCCCCCCATCTTAAACACATATGTACTTCTGCAGCTTCATTGATAGGTTTTGGGTTTTTTTTGTCTCCAATGTATTGTTTCTGTATAATTTTAAATAAAAGAGATGCCATATCTCTGTCAATATCTTAGTGTATTTTATTTCTCATGAACTCTTAGTCCTGTATTGAGTTCTTAATATGCTACTGCAGCTGGAGGCACAATCTCAGTGGACTAGCAGGATGCCTGCCAACTTTTCTTCTTCCACCTGTCTGGGACTCCTGCTAAAAGTGAATCAATTCACAGAAACTGTACTGAAACCTGGTGGGAAAGGAAGTTGCCCATGCTGAGAACTTCCAAGTTGTCCCTTTTCCAAATTGATACCAGTCTTGCATCAAACATCAGTCTAAAAAAATATATGAGGAAGAGGGGAGGAGTGGAGATAAAAGTCAGGCAGGGACAACGTTGGAAAGAGCAGAAAAGTACAGAATGTTTATTTAGCTGGTCTGAACTTTTCAAGGCAACTCAAGCTAGAATTGAGAGAGAGAATCTCCCCTCTCATTTCCTATAGGCTCAGTTCTGGAGGTTTACCAGATCCAGGGATTAATAGCGTTGCTTGGCAGCCTACATTTCCAAAAAGCAGAAAAACTCTTCCAGTTTGTTAGGGTCTTTGCCACTTGGGCCAACAGTGGAACAAGTCACTAATATATAAAGTTCAGCCCTCACTATCTCTTCCTCCTCTGTCACCAAGTGCCAGCCGCTCTGTTCTGGATCATATAACTCTATGTAACCCTAACTAGAGAGCATGTATCAGTATGTTAGAATATCTGGCATTTATTGAGTTAAGTGCTGTTTTCTTCAGAGATGGATTATGGGAAATGCAGTTTAGTTAGTCAGTCATCTCATGTTAATGGGTCAGTGGGAGGCATTTCTGAGTTCCTCTCAGGACATATTGGCTATGTGCCCAGTTTGGAATGGCTTGGAGATTCTATACCAACATGTGATGCTTATGCAGAAGAAGAGGGGAAAATCCATCATCAATTTACCTGTGGAACCCATATTGCTAAATATACTTTTGGACGCATCTCTACATAACTGTAAGTCATTGTTTAGGATTCCCAGAATAAAGCAATATATTTTCTGTTTGTTCTTCTGAGTTATCTATCTGTCTTGGATTGAACTGAAGGCAACCTGTTCTGTCTGGGGCAGTATACGCTCTGCCAAAGAATCTCTCTTACCCTTTTGTCAGTTTCCTCTTGTCCATTTCATTCATTTTATTGTCATCTCCTTTGAAACATTTTTCCCCATGAGATTGATTGGAAGTGCTGCCACGGAGATTGTAATTGATGGAAAGGATTGTGTCTTGTGTGAGAGATCAAAACCAAAGAGCTATCCTATTGGCAATCCCACATTCCTTCCTATAACCTTCCTGTAACCTGTAGGGTGAATGATTGCAGTGTGCTAAATGGCAGCAGGAGATTGGAGTTTCCCATCTCCCTTTGCTGCTGCCCAAGGGTTAGCCAGGGAAATGCTGGCCAAGACATCCAAGAGTTTCTTATTGCTAACATACTCAAAACTATTTCAAGTTTTGTTTTTTATTTCTACCCAAAATTGATTCAAACTGTGTTCCATGAAACCACAGTCGCACTGCAACAGTTCTGCATAATTTCCAAGAGGCAATGTTTTGCTTCAAACTTGCAAACAAGCACATTTTCTGATTTATGCACACTTTTAATCTCCTTCATTGTGTACAATACTTCTTCTCTCCCGCCCCCAGAAAATAGATAGACTCAAAATCCAGAAAGATATCAACAGACTTGAACACGGGCCCTATCTAACAAAATGAAATTCAATAGTGAGAAAAGGGAAGTTTTACACTTAGGCAAGAAAAACCAAATGTACAAGTGTAGAATAGATGGAACCTGACTTAGTACCAGAAACTGTGAGAGGAATCTTGGAGTCCTAGTGAGCAATCACTTAAATATGAGCCGGTGGTGCACTACAGCTGCCAGAAAAAAAACAATGCAGTCCTAGGCTGCATCAATAGCAGAATAGAATCAAGATCACACTTTATAATGCTTTGGTAAGACCACACTTGGAATACTGCATCCAGTTTTGGTTACCACAATATAAAAAAGATGCAAAAATGGAAACCTGGCCACTCATAGCCAGTCCCCATTATCTAAGGCCATCTACTCTAAGATGCCACCCCCCCCCAAAAAAAAA